CAATCACATTAAAATTCTAAAAAATTTAAATTTTACTTAAAAAATATACTACAATATCTATTTTAACATAAAATCTTAGTATAACTTAGAAAATTTATTGTGACTAAAGAATTATACTCATGTAACATAAATTGATTTTTAAAAACTATATATATGATTATTTTTTATCTTACAAGTGAAAGGGTTAAACTTTTCGATAAAAAATAAAATAAGCATATATGGGCATAATGTTATATTTGCATATGAGATGTGCAATATTATATTGATAGAGTTTTTGAAGGGCTTTTGAACACATTATTGAAAATAGAATATAATTTTTTAAGGTAATACAATCAAAAAAATTTATAAAAACCAATTGAATAATCAAAAGCGACATTATAAGCAATTTGGAGATTTAAAGACATAAAGATATAATGGTAATCTAGATATTTAATTATGAAAGAATAAAGTGGTCTTTGTAATTTTTTATAAGGGTAAAATAGAGATTTAAAAATTTTTCATCTTAAGATATTTTTAGTAAGGATTTGTTGGCGGTGAACACAATTTCTTAGACTTATTTAAAGAAAAGTATATGGATAAATTATTTACTCTATTAAATTCAATTTTAATAAAATATATTGTGTTTAAGTACAAAATTCAAATGAAATTAAAACCGTTTTATCTGAATACCCTCCCTTAAATTATGCATTCTAAATTGACAGTTATATATTTAATCAAATATGTAAAGATTTCATTAGACTCACTCACTATCTCTCCCCTATTTTTTCTCCATCTCTCTTTTTCCCATTTACTTTCCTTATCTATCATTGATAATTTATTTTCTTTTCAAATATATAAAGATTTGATTTATCTTTTCATTTCTCTCTCTCCCCCTATTTTCTCAACTATTTCTCTCTATCTCTATTTATATCAACATTACAATAATACAATTATACTAATTAGTTACAATTGTCTTATAATATACTAAACAGTTACTCATGCATTCTAATAAACCAAACAATTACACAAATTTATAACACCAACTCAAATTATCATTCAGTTGTTTACATAAACTAAATAGTTGCATTATTTAGTATCGCAACATCATTACACCAATCATATATATCAAATTTAGTATAATGGTAAAATCTTTTGTGTAATGATAAATTCAATTTGGTGTATATAATTGGTGTAATCATATCGTGATATTAAATGATGTAACTCTTTTATTTATGTAAATAACAAAAATGACAAATTGAGTTAGTGTTGTAATTTCGTATAATTGTTTAGTGTAACTGTTTAGTTTATTACAATACATAAGTAACTGTTTAATGTATTATAGGATAATTGTAACTAATTTGTATAACTTATTAGTGTAATTGTATTGTGTAACGTTGATATAAAGAGAGAGAAATATGAAGAGAATAAGGAAATAAGGGGAGAAGGATGAGAGAGAGAAAGAAAAAAAATATGGGGAGAGAGATAAAAAAATTTAATCAAATATTTATGTATTTAAAAAAAAATTATCAATAAGGTTAATTGTACTGGAGGTCTCAAAAGTATAAAAATTTATCTCATTTTGGTCCCCAATATTTTAATTGCATCATTTTAGTCCTTGAAATTTGAATATGTTTCTATATAGTCCTTTAAGCAGATAACGTCCAAATTGCTAAGATTTTTTATCATAAATTTGTCACGTGATACTTAAATATGGACAAAAAAAATAATTTGAATAACTCTTGACTAAATTTTTACTTAAATTTTGGTTAAATAGCTACCTAAATTGCACAATTTAGATCACGAACGATTCAAATTTTGGTCAAAAGCTATCCATATTATACATTTTTTGTCAAGAGCTATCTAAATTTTGTTTAAAAGTTATCAAAATTATTTTTTGTCCATATTTAGGTATAATATGATAAGTTTCTGATAAAAAATCATTAGCAACTTAAACGTTGTCTAACTGAGGGACCATATAGAAACATAGTCAATACTTTAGGGACCAAAATAGTACAACTAAAATATTGAGGACCAAAATGACATAAACTTCATACTTTAGGGACCTTTAATGTAATTAATCTATTATCAATATGAGAGAAATAGATATAGAGAAAAAAGGGGAGAGAGAGTAGAGTGAAAGAGTAATGGAGAGAGAGAAGGAGAGAGAGTAATGGAGTAATAAATATCTTTTTAATTTTTTTTCCAAAAAAATACACTTAGAATCAAATAAGTTTCCTTAGCAGAGTTTAACTCAAATAAATATAAATTTTTGTACCGACTTCCAAATTACTTTTTTTAAGTAATGGTATAGATTTGTGCATAGAGAAATGGGCCAATGGTAGAAAGGTGCATGGCCCAATTGATTTGGCGGAGGTATTGGAGAGAGAAGAAGGAAACAATGAGTCGGTTACACACTCAGACAACTTGAATATATCCATATCATTAGTGCAATCAACTATGCTCGAAGATGTTGGGAATGTGAGACCCAAGAAAAAAAGTAAGAGTACATATGAGATGTTAGTTGAAGGGTTAATGAGTGATGCATTTATCATTAGTGAGGTGTATTTCCCATGCAAGTGATGTGGATGCTGCAATTCAAGACATGAAGAAGAAAATTTACGAATAGTTGATGAAGCTGCTGGACTTTTCAAAGATTTTGGATAAATTTTATATCATTGGATCAACGTAGATGATGATGAGGTCAATCTTAACCGTTGTTGTATTTTTATAACTTAAGAATTCAACTTCTTAATTATAACATTAGATGTCTTGGATAGTTCTTTCATAGGCTACCAGTAAAAAATCAACTCTTAAAATCAAGGGCAGTGCTTATGGACAAGGATAAAAGAAATATTTTAGTATTTATTTTAATTAATACAACTAGGACTTACAGCTCCTTCTACATTAAAAAAAAAATTAAAAAAGAGATATCTATCACAAGTGTAATGCTGTAAAACTAATGTATAGGCATGTTTTTGAATCTTTCAAACCTACTCAAACTGGTTTTCTCTTCACAATACCATTCGACATGTACATTGTTGACATTTGTTGCTTACTTGTCGAGGGAAAATAGGCTTTTGTCTTATTTTAAATAAATATGAACGCGTCAAAATTAGTTTGTTATCGAATTGTAATACTCGTTCACAATATCAAAAAGTATTTTTTTCAGTATTGTACATCCAAAACACTAACTTTGGGGTAAAGATAAAAACTTAAATTGCAATTTTTTGAGGTGATTGAGATCAGTTCTAATGTTTTAGGATCGATTTTAATATTGATATTAAGTACCCTAAAACGTTGTAATTTTATTAAAAAATAACGTAATTAAACCCAAAAAATTAGTATCAAATCGATTTGGTAATCTTTCCCTTCTCTCTTGATGATGAACAAATTGGTCTCAGTGCAAAATTAACTGTCGAATATATGTAAGGGTGCAATTAATGAATAATAAGTAGGCAATCAATGACAAAACGGTAAATATACGCAGACACACCGATATAAAGTGGTTCGGTCTGGGTGACCTACTCCACTCTCAAAAAACGGCAGCGGTGGCCGGAGGTGTTTTAATAATGAATAAAGTAACTTGGTGAATACACTCTAGAGTATTACAGTGTTTTAGGAGAGAAATTAGGGAGGTGTAGAGAGGACAAAAAGTAATGGTCTCAAGGTCATACCCCTCCATGTGGAGAGGGCTTACATTATATAGGTTTGGTGAGGTGGTGAGACGGTGACGTGAGGGAGAGAACTCTACTCTTTTGATAAGTACAATTAAGATATGATTGAATTTCTACGAATATGTATCTCGATAGTATCCCCCATGTACTCTTATCTCTCTGGGCTTCTTAGATCCTAAACTAGATCGGACCGACAAAGTAGGTCTGGCCGCCCTTTAACTGACTTGGGCACAATTAATTTATTGGGCCTGACTCAGTTGATTTTGGGCTTATAATCTCTCACAAGTTGCATGCCCAATAGAATAGAGCAATTTGATGATCAAGATGGGAAACAAAAACCCAACATTATTAGTGGCTACAAAACAAACAGTACATACCAGATGAGCATGTTTGGTTTGATTCACTTATTTTAGTACCGATGCTGTCCTGAGTCCTGACGAAGTCTAAACCCACCACTGCATTGACAAGTTCAGTGCATTTTTAAATTCAATGGTTGATAAGTCTTCAACCACTCTTTACTTAATCAAAAACCCGTCCGAATATGCGTCATATTGCTGACAAATGCGGGGTGGCACTTGGTTTCAACGCTCCTAAGGCTAATTTATAGTTTACACCCTTCAAATATGTCAAGTTCTAATTAATTTAGTTCTTGAAATTTAAGTCGACACAATCAACCTCATAAAATTTTAACTGAGTTACAATTCAGACCTTCTATCTAAATTTGTTCGTTTGATACAATAAAAATAGTCAAATGAAAAACAAATGACTTGTATAGAAGAGTATACTTGTTAACACTGGGATATGTCTTGATTCCAATTCTTCTTGGTCTCGGTGGCTATCAATTTTCTTTTGGGTTTGTTCTTTTCTTCAAGATTGATAATGGTTAATAAGCAATGTGTTGTAATCATTTTTAGGAAGACAAACATACCCTTTTGAATAAGTACTACCCTTTTAATAGGCGGAATATTCGAAATAAAATTCAATTAAAACTTACAAATTAGTTAGTGTTAAGATTTTAATTTTATGAACCAAATTTAACATTAGCCGTAATTGAAGGGTGTAAATGAGAAATTATCCAAATTTCACATGTAACCATGTCACCTCCCTCTGTCCTCTACCTAAGAGTGTTTTAGCAAGCTGACTATTTCTTAGATTACACACAAAAAGGTTAGGGGAACATCATTGTCCAGTTGTTGAGCAGAGAAATGATAGATTTTCAGTTTAAACTGAGAGAGTTGCTAAAAGGTTGGAAGCCATCCATACTATTTAACAAATGCTTTGGGGATTGAAAGGATCACTATATAAAGAGCCAGCCTCCCCTTTGAACTACCATCCACAACTAGTTTTCTATTGCATAACGCTTGTTAGTCCCAGAGAATTGCCAAGAATGACAAATTCTTGGCCTCGAGTGCTCTTTGCTTTAGCAATCTGTTTCATAGCCACAAATGTAAAAGCCGACCATGAGCCTTACTATTACGCATCTCCACCACCCCCACCTCCTTACTATTATAGTTCACCGCCCCCACCTCCTTACTATTACAAGTCACCACCACCACCGTCACCGTCACCTCCACCACCATACTACTATAAGTCGCCTCCTCCTCCATCACCATCCCCTCCTCCCCCATATTATTACAAGTCACCACCACCACCATCTCCATCACCACCACCTCCATACTATTACAAGTCCCCTCCTCCCCCATCACCTTCTCCCCCACCTCCCTATTATTATTATAAATCACCACCACCGCCATCTCCCTCTCCTCCTCCTCCTCCTCCTTACTATTATAAGTCACCACCCCCACCTTCACCTTCACCCCCACCTCCTTACATGTACAAGTCCCCACCTCCTCCTCCTTACATGTACAAATCACCACCACCACCTTTTCCTTCTCCACCACCACCCTATTACTATAAGTCACCACCACCTCCATCTCCTTCACCACCACCTCCTTATATCTACAAGTCTCCACCACCACCACCACCATCTCCTCCACCACCATACTATTATAAATCTCCTCCACCACCGTCTCCATCCCCTCCTCCACCATACTACTACAAGTCTCCTCCACCACCATCACCCTCACCTCCTCCTCCTTACTACTATAAATCACCACCTCCACCATCTCCATCCCCGCCCCCTCCATATTACTACAAATCACCACCACCTCCTTCTCCGTCACCCCCACCACCTTACTATTACATGTCCCCACCACCACCTTCCCCATCACCTCCACCACCATATTACTNCGCCACCACCTCCTTCTCCATCACCCCCACCACCTTACTATTACAAGTCCCCACCACCGCCCTCCCCATCACCTCCACCACCATATTACTACAAATCACCACCACTGCTCTCACCATATCCTTCTCCTCCATACTACTACACTTCTCCTCCTCCTCCCAAGCCTTATTAAAAAGGAAACCGCTTTATCTTCATGGCTCATGTAAGTTTGGTAAATAAATACTGCCATTCTTATCTCTTGTTGTGAACAGCTTTTCATTGAAACTAACATTGTTTTGCAGCTCATATACTGCGTCATAATGCAACAAGAAGCCGAATGTTTTCAAGGGGAGGCAACTATGATAGTTTTTTCTTAAACAACACCTCTAGTTGGAGAATAAAAAAATAATGGCCATTATGTTTTTATTATTTCTTATTGTAAGACATGCAGTACGCTCATCTATTCAAATATATTTTATTCATTGTCTCATATGGACCTTAAATATGTTCAACCACTCAAATGTTGATCAATTTGGAATAGTAAAGACCTTTGTCACAAATAGATTACTTGGTTTCTTTTTTGCGATAATTTCTAACTTTTTCTAAGAGGGAGGAAAATTGATATGAATTTTGGCAATGAGAATTATTAAATGAAGCACAACTGCCATTGTACATTTCACAATGGTTTGAGTAGTACCACAAAGAGAGAAAGAGAGAGAGATTTAGGATTGGACTAGGTGATAACATCTAAGTGTAATCACGTCACAAATAGATTGTAATTGTGAAGGTCCATGGTATTGGTACTCTGAAATAACTACAAGTCCTCCGGGTAATTTAAGAATTTAATCCAGGATTCAAACAATCAATCATGATTTTTTAGTTCTTTTCTAAACATCATTAAAATAAAGACCTGTAAAACAATAATACATCTATCATGAATGATTGAAATATTTTATCTCTATAATTTACAAGATTAGTAGATTGAACTCAAAATCTCAAACATGTTATCGTCTAAAGCCAATACCTACTATATATATATATATATATATATATACATACATACATATGCAAATTTCAATACTAACTAAATGGCCAAAATGTAAACCATAAATAAGAAAGAAAAGAAAAGAAAAAAACAATACTAGGGGCTACTTTGAGATACCCTCATTTTCTTAATGCGTGACATGTTCTTAGAATAATTCCATTAAATTCTAAGCTCTTGATTGAGATATAGCTTGAATTTGTTTATTAGGCTAAATTGTAATTAATCCTCATTACTTTATCAAAACAATAAGTAAAACCTTTTAGATTTAAGAAATAAGACAAAGAACTCTGGGTTGAATTTCTTTCAGAATTACATATTAAGAAGGATTATAACATCCATCTATTCAACTAAGAATTTCAAACTTATATCTTGTTGATGTCAATATTCTAGCATGTTATTGACTAAATGATAAGAAATATGTTAAAAATTGTCAATATTCTACGGCTATCATCATTATTTATCCTATTGATAGCAAAGGAATTTTCAAACCTTGGTGGACAAGACCATTGCCATCGGCACTTTGTGCCGAGATATCTATTTGATGGTCTCGATAACTCTTTGTTAAGCAAAGTTTTGCCTTGTCCTATTTTTTCATCTCATAGTAAAGGTTGTAATTTCATATTACAATGATTGATGTTGTTTTTTCCCTTCAAGTTCTATAGCTCAAACATGTGGTATCAGGTTCCAGGTTAAAAATTTTATGACTTGTACTATTGTGAAAATGACATTCATCAGAGAATAAGTACGAGCCTTGAGATTATCAAAAGGTTCTCGGAGCTATCAAAAACTACCTAAGAAAATTTTAAGTGGATATACATAGAGGAGCTACAATAGCTAGTCCAACTGTAAGAAATTTTAAATTCTCGGCGTTTCCAATCAAATAGACAGTGAACCTATTACACTGACCTTGGCTTTGTTTCAGAATAGCAATTTTTATTGTAATTCATTTGGAACAAGCCAGTCTTGACCAGGAGTGTGTTTTACCCTCCTTTCTGACTCTTGATTAAATAGTTTTAAGCTCGAAAAATCATCATAAGCTTTCTAAGTGTTCAAACTAAGACTTGCCTTCGATTTTCTTCATGTTTTTGCTATTTCCTTCTTTTGATCCCTATCACATGTAATGAAATTGCAAATCCTAAGATCCTAAACCTAACAAAGCTTGGTAGGTTGTCTTTGTACATAAACGCAACTAAGAAGCAACTAAATGAACAAAATTAACTAGTTCACCAATATTTGATGGGTTTTCCATTCAAATAATTATTATAAGCAAACCTATTTTAGTTGTGCCCTAAATCATTTTTTTTTGTAGCAAACTGAGGGATACAATGCAAAATCTATATCTTGTTAAAAATATAATTTGTAATTTTATTATGTCGATTAGTTAATTTCCAAAATGTTATATAACTACTCTGTGTTGAAGTCCTTCACGACTAAGTAAGTAGCAACTGGAGCCAAACTGGAGCTAGGTGGCTGAAACTTCTTGAAGCTTATAGAGTTACTGGGTGTGTTGCTTCACAAGGAAGAATTACTTATTAAGTGATTGCTCACTATGGCGGTTAACTTGTGGCGGTAATTTGCCTATATAAAGGTATAAATTTTATCATCTCATGTAATGAGAATGAGAGAATATGAGATAAAAAAAAATTGAGTATATGACAGAGATCCAACGGAGAGATTTGAGAGTTCGTATGTAATCATTACACTTTTTAAAGTAATTCCAGTTTGCTCATCTTCTTCTCTAAAGTTTACAATTTATACTTCCTAGTTTGCTTTGTTTACACTTTGCACCTCAATAATTGTGGTATCAAAGCCAAAGTTTCAAATCTCCTCAAAGTCTTTCCAAATAAACCTTTATGATGAAAACTAACACTTCCATGTTCAATTATGCACAGGCCATCATTCCAATTTTTTAGGGTGAGAATTATGAGATTTGGAGCATCCAATTGAAGACCTTATTTATCTCACAAGATTTGTGAGATATAGTCGAAGTTGGATTCACAGCACCAGAAAATGATGAAGAATTTGCAACATGACAAGATGCAGATCAGAAAAAATACAAGGAGGACAAAAAGAAAGATGCGATAACACTTCTTAATATTCAAGGAGGGGTTAGCAAAACTATTTTTTCAAGAATAATGGGTGCAAAAACATCAAAGGAAACCTGGGAGATATTGAAGATCGAATATCAAGGATTTGATAAGGTAATCTCTATCAATCTCCAAACTTTATGGCAAGATTTTTATAATCTAGTAATGAAGGAAAATGAATCTATACAAGAATTCTTTTCCCGATTTGCTGGAATTGTCAATCAAATCATAAGTTACAAAGATACCCTTCCAGATAAGAATATTATTGAAAAAGTCCTACGGAGTCTACCTGCAAGATTTGAGCATATTGTAGCAGCAATCAAGGAAGCCAAGGATTTATCAAAATTGTCTCGACATGAATTAATGAGTTCTCTAAAAGCACACGAAAAATGGATGAGCATATTCACAAATTAGTCTTTGGAACAAGCATTCTAGTCCAAAGTCAATATTGCAGAATCAAGCAATTCAAAAATGGACCAAGAAAATCAAGGTGGGGGCAAATTTCAAAAAGGAGGCCAGTATGGAAAAGGTCGTGGAAGACAAAATTCATTTAAGCCCGAGGCAAAGGAAGAGGCTACATCGATCAAAGAAATTCTGATGGTAATTCTGATTCTCAATGTATTATTTGCCAAAGATTGCAGATTTAGATGCAAGAACTGCAAAGTATCAAATTATTGCCAACGAAATTGCTGGTTCAACCGTAACAAGGCAAATTATTCAAAAGCAAATGAAGAAGATATCATGCTCTCTTGTATGAATATTCAACAAGAGTTAGAAAATACGTGGTATTTGGATAGTGGATGCATCAATCATATGACTAGAAACCAAATGATGTTTATAGAGCTGGATGCAAAAGTTTCGTCTCAAGTAAAACTTGGCGATGGAAAGTTGCAAAACGTCGAATGCAAAGTAGTTATTGTATTCTACACAAAAGGAGGTAACAGGAAATTGGTTATTGATGCTCTTTATGTTCTTGGACTAACTCAGAATTTATTGAGTGTTGGGCAGTTGCTTCAGAAAGAATATGCAATTAACTTTGATAATGATGGCTGCATTATTTCTGACAAAAAGAATAACCAAACAGTGGCAAAGGTTCAAATGACCCCAAATAAAGTTTTTCCTTTTGTTATGCCACTTGATGAAAATCTTGCACTTCAAACTGAAAAAAATCAGTGATTCCTATTTATGGCACTTGAGATATGGGTATTTAAATTATAGAGGCCTGAGGCTGCTGAAAGTAAAAAAATATGGTGCATGGCCTACCGTATATTGATAGAGTTGATAAAGTTTGCAAATGTTGTATTTATGGGAAGATGTATTGTCTACCATTCTCAAAGACATCTTGGCAAGCTAAAACACCATTGGAGTTGGTACATGTTAATTTTTGGGGGCCAAGCAGAACATGATTAGTTGCCAACAAAAGATATTTTCTTCTATTTGTTGATGATTATACTCAAATAATGTGGATTTATTTTCTCGAGCAGAAGTCAGAGGCCTTCTCCAAATTTCTTGATTTCAAAGTTATGGCAGAAAGACATAGTGGTAGAAAATTAAAGGCACTCAGGAAAGCCCATGGTGGAGAATTCATCTATACCCCATTCATGAATTATTGCAAGGATAAAGGAATCAGAAGGCAACTTACAATCTGACAATCACCTCAACAAAATGGTGTGGCAGAAAGAAAAAATTGCACCATCATGGAAATGGCACGAAACATGCTTAAAGGAAAAAGACTTCACAATAATTTATGGGCTGAAGCAATCAACGTGGCTATCTATATTCTCAATCGATCTCCTACAAAGGCAGTTCTAAACAAGACACCTTATCAGGCGTGGTTTCAGCAAAAGTCAAAGGTGGATCTTCTCAAAGTATGTGAATGTATTACCTATGCCTTAATCCCTTCACAAAAAAGGGAGAAGTTTGATGAAAAGGGCAAGAAATATATATTTATCATGTATAGCAGCAAGTCAAAAGAATATTGCCTATACAACGCAGATAAAAATGAGTTGGAGATTTCTCAAGATGTCATATTTGATGATATGACAACATGGCAATAAAAGAACAATCTAGTCCAAGATTCTGGAGAATTTCAATTTATTAAGCCTCTAAGAGTGCAAGAATCTACAAGTCCACAGAGGAGTCCAAACTCAAGCCTAAGTCAAAGCTCTCAATCTACTCCAAGCACGAGTCAAAGTCGAAGTTCAAGTAGAGAATCATTTGGAGGCACATCACCATATTTATCTGATTCTGAAACACCATCAAGAAAGCTATATTCATTGGTGGATATATATATATATCAATCCTGTGATGTTGCATTTTTTGTGTACGAAACTCAAAATTTTGAAAAAGCATCAAAAGATGAGATATGGATAAAAGCTATGGATGAAAAAATTACAAGTATTGAAAAGAATCACACTTGGGAACTTTTTAGCTTGCCTAAAGAAAAAGAAACAATCGGACTCAAATGGATATAAGACCAAGTATAAGGAAGATGGTTCTATTCAAAAACACAAAGCTCGGCTAGTTGCAAAAGGTTATTCACAACATCCAAAAGTTGACTTCAATGAAACATTTTCCCTAGTTGCTCGGATGGAGACAATCAGAATAGTAGTAGCATTAGTAGCACAACATAAGTTACTAGTTTATCAGTTGGATGTCAAATCAGCATTTCTTAATGGCGAACTCAAAGAGGAAGTGTATGTGGAACAACCTCAGGACTATCTAATCAAGGGAAACAAAGAAAAATTTTATCGACTTCGAAAAGCATTATATGGATTAAAACAAGCACTTCGAGAATGGAATAACAAGATCGACAAATACTTTTAACAAAATGGATTTCAAAGGAGCTAAAGTGAGCCATCATTATATGTCAAGAAAGAAGGTACTCAAGATTTTCTTATTGTCTACATATATGTTGATAACTTAATATATACTAGCACCAACTCAGCAATGATTGAAGAATTCAAAGCAGCTATGATGAAGGAGTATGAAATGACTGATCTAGGTCTTATTAGATATTTTCTCAGTATTCAAGTGCAATAAAGCAAAGATGAAATATTTATCTCTCAAGAAAAATATCTTGAAGATTTACCAAAAAGGTTTAACATGTTCAACTGCAAGTCAAACTCTACTCCAATTGCTTTGAATGAGAAGCTACAAAAAAATGATGGATCAGAGAAAGTTGATGCTACTATGCATAAAAAATTGGTGGGTTCACGCATTTATCTCATCAACACCAACACCAACACCAACACCAGGCCAGACATTGTTTATTCAGTCAATCTTATATCTTGATTTATGCATAATCCAAGCAAGCTACATTATACAGCTGCGAAGTGAATCCTACGTTATCTACAAGGCACCAAGAAACTCAGCATCAGATATGTCAAAAAAAAAAGAACAACCAGTTGATTGACTATACTAATAGTGATTGGGGTTCCCTCGATAATCCCAAAAGCACGTCAGGTTATGCATTTTGCATGGGTTCAAACTTTATTTCATGGAGTTCTAAAAAACATAAAACTATTGCATTATCATTAGTTAATGAATATATTGCAGCTACAGATGCAGCATGTGAATCAATATGGCTCAGAAGAATTCTTCTAGATATGGAACAAGTTGCGATAATTTGTCAGTAATTGCAATGAGCAAAAATTCAGTATTTCATAGTCGGACAAAATACATTGAGACATCATTTTATCAGAGACTTAGTTCAGAAAGAAGAATTGCAACTTGACTTCGTCAACACTAAGGAGTAGTTAGTAGATATTTTTACCAAAGCCGTACCATTGGAGAAATTTTATCAATTTCAGCAGAGTATGAAAATTAAAAATTAAGAGGGCGTGTTAAAAATATAATTTGTAATTTTATTATGTCGGTTAGTTAATTTCCAAAATGTTATAGAACTATTCTGTGTTGAATTCCTTCACGGCTAAGGAAGTAGCAACTGGAGCTAAACTAGAGCTAGGTGGCTGAAACTTCTTAAAGCTTGTGAAGTTAGTTGGGTGTGTTGCTTCACAAGGAAGAATTGCCTATTAGGTGACAGCTCACTATGGCGGTTAACTTGTGGCGGTAATTTTCCAGTATAAAGGCGTAGAATTTATTATCTCATATAATGAGAATGAGAGAGAATATGAGATAAAAAAAATTGAGTATATGAGAGAGATCCGACAGTTCGTATTTAATCATTACACTTTTTAAAATAATTTCAGTTTGCTCCTCTTTTTCTTTAAAGTTTATATTTTATACTTCCTAAGTTGCTTTGTTTACACTTTGCATCCAACATATCTATCTATATAAATAAAGTAGCTAGATTTTTTTTATTGAGCTTTTCGCGGCTTAGATTGTTTTCAATTTTTTAATCCAACAACCAAAACTCTTTCAAAAAAAATTTTTCATCCCAAAATTACAAGTATCCTTTCGTTTTAGGACTCTAAGAGAAACTCCAAGAGGGAGTTGCATCAAGGGTGGCAACCCCATATCCCACCCCAAATTCAAAAATTTTCACTCTAAGGGAGGGTGGCATCAAAGGTTGAAAAATAGCATCAAGGCTCTTGGGATGACATTTTTGGCAACTCTGGAGAGAGAAAGGGAGAGGTTGCAAATGAGTTCATGAATATAGATCCGTTAGATGAATATAGATCCAACAATTTATATAGATTAATGAATAAAAATATGAAAATAACACCCCATTTTGGCATCTACTATTGAAGTAGATTTATAATTCAGGGATGCCAAAACATTGTTCAAGGTTAAAAAGAGTGATTTGGCACCCCAAAATGGCAACTCGCCTTGGAGTTGCTCTAAGACTACCTCATCTCTAAAGTCCCACCCATACGTCTCTCTCTCTCTCTGCGTTCATGTGTTTGTTGCCAGTCATCACCTCTGCTAGCCACTGCTATTACTAGCAATAACAGGTTTGATTTTCTTTCTGATTTTATTTTTTTTGTTTCTTTATTTCTCTGTCTCTCTTTGTTATATCTGCCGCCTTTTTCACATATATTATGCTTGTTACACTCTCATGTATGATGATGCACAAATTGGTATTGCACAAGATTAACAGTCGAGTATATGTAAGAGTGTAATTAATGAGCAATAAATAGGTAATCAATGATAAAACAGTAATAAGAGCAACACATGCAGATTTATCGTGGTTCAGTTCGGGTGACCTATTCCACTCTTGAAAATAGCAGCGGTGGCTTGAGATCTTTATTGATGAATAAAAGTCACCGGGAGAGTACACTCCGTGATAATTATAATGCTTTGAGAGAGAGGAACTTGGTGTGTGTAGAGAGGTGTAGAGATGTGTGGATATCTCAAGGTGTAGAGGTCTTCAAAGGTCATAAGATGTTAATGCCATGTCCTCTATGTGGAGAGGGCTTACATTATATAGGTATGGTGAGGTGGTCACTACTTTTTGGTAAGTACAATTATAGTAGGATTAGATCTCCATGATGCGTATCCCGATATTCTTGTCACGTGCTCCTATTCCTTCAAAAAGAGGATCTTGAGCTGGACTAAACTGGGTTAGAGTGGCAAAATGAGGAGGACAAAGAGGAGACAAGAGAACCCAGCCCTTGGGCGACGCCCAGGGGCTTGGGTAACCCCCCTTGGGTATTTCCTTCGGACATTGGTTAATTGGACCCCTTTTGGTGCATTGGGTCTTGGGCTACTTTTTGGGTACTGATGATTTGGGTCCCTCTTAGTTTATTTTTATAGAGTCTGGCCTAGTTGATTTTGGGCTCATCATTTGTCCCTCATGCCCCAAATCTCTGAATTTTTCAAGAGGAAGGGATTGAGGGCATGTACCTCATCTTCACTTGAGTGAGCAAGAGTTTTTTTGCCCCCCATGACGCTTTCTTATCTTTAGGGACTCTGTTGAGTTTACTGATAATCGGATATTTTTTTGCATTTCTTTTGCTGGGTCTTGAAAAAATCTGGCTCATAAATATATAGGTCTTTAGCCTCCGCACCTCATTCCCCTTCTATTTTTACTTGTGAGGTTTCTCCTAGAAGCCATTTCCTTATAGGCTTCTCTTAGAAGTCATCTTTCTTGAAAGCTTCTCTTGGCAGCTATTCTTTCCTTAACTTCAATCTTCCCTAAATCTCCTCTTCTCCAAATCAAGCCAAGGTCATGAAAGCTATGAACTCGAAGGAGGCAGAAGAGTCCAATGAAGGGGGAAACACCCATGGCGTGCACCATGGAGGCTGCGCCGACTTTGAAGGCAGTTATGGTGTCATTGATGAGGCGATAGAGAGCTCAATGGAGTTAACCCAGACACTAGGCGGCACTGTTGGACTTAAGAAAGGCGACGCCAATGGAGGCGCCTGCATGAAGGAAAGAGGGAAAAAGGCTAATTGATGTAGGGAAGGTGACTTAGACTAGCTGAGCAGCACCAGCAGTGTGCTAGGTGACGCCAGCTGTGTGCCAAACGGGGGTGGAGCCTGTTTCAATAGTTGCTTCTTTGGTGCTCTAAGCGTTGACTCTAATGCTGAGAGGAGGGAGGCTTTAGGCAACTCCCGTAGTGGAGTAGGTGGTGCTCATTGTCTAGGAGACACCATGGGAGGCGCCCAAGGTGGAGTGGGTGGTGTCTCGGGTTGTTTTGGTAACGTCTCAGGTAATTTGGGGGCATTCGGGTTGCTATCAATGCCCCAGCTGGCTTGGGCAGTGCCTCGGGTGGTTTTAGCGACGTCTTGGGTCACTTGGGTGACGTTTCAGATCTCTTGGACGCTGGCATTGGGTATTGACCATACTGGCATTGGGTATTGGCCATCGGGCACTAGCGTTGGGCATTTACCATTGGACGCTAATGCTAGACATTGACTATTGGGCGCTGGTGCTAAGTATTATCCATTGGGCACTAGTGCTGAACATTAACCATTGGATGTTCATGCTAGGTATTGATCATTGGACACTCGCGTTGGATATTGCGTTGGGTGGAGCACTAAACAACAGCAAAACTTCGAACGATCATAATTTTGAGCTCAGTTGTCCGTTTGAGACAAATTTTTTTTTTGAATTCATGTAATTTTTTTTAGATCTATGGCTTGAGGCACCTAATTTCTCCAAAAAATGCTTATTTCTCACAAAATTTGAATTTTAACTACAAATTACTAAAACCAATAGTGAAGGGAAGCTGCTTGCTGTCAAGCATTCATTGGCAACAATGAAGGCTACTGTGGGCGCCACCTATAGGTTGGTAGGGTGCTTTGAGTGACACTAGGAGGCTGGGAAGGCACCTTGGGTGATGCCAGGAGGCTGGGCAGGCGCCTTGGGCACTGTTGTGTTTGGGCGACGCCTTGAGTCTCGCTATAAGAGGCACCTCTTTGGTGCTTGGTCACTAACTAACCTTGTCTCTAATTATAGGCGCCCTATTGATAAAGTGATGGTGAAGACTCTTTGTACTTTTAGGATGGTGTCTTTCCCTCCTCTCAAAAGGGCGAGGTTTGATGCCTCTAGTGCTTTTCGACTAAGGTCCGATGGCTAGGTTGTTTCCCGAGAGTGGGATCCGATGGTGTTCCCACTTCTTCTCAGACTAGGACTTTTGTGTGTACCAGAGTTAACCCTTGTGCTGTTGTAGAAGTTGAGACTCCAATGTAGTTTTTACAGGGATTGTAGCTTCACCTAGCTACCCTGCTTCTAGTAGTAGCTCAGTGTCAATCTAATATAGTCCCACGAGTTGCAGTGTGTCTAGCAAAAATAATATTATTCTAACATTAAAATATTTAACACGATTACCTACAAAGAGAGGTAGACTGTTTGCATGAGAGCAAAGTTAGAGTTGTGGACATCCCATGAGAGGGCTGCATGAGTTGAGGTCGAGCTACATATAGTCTCAGGGTATGACTGTCGTGGCAAAGGCTTGTAAAAAGACTACATAGACAGAGCTGCATATAGTCTCGGGAGATGGTTGTCGTGGTAGAGGCTTACTAGATGACTACTTGCGTGATAACAGAGTTATAGTTGCAAATGTCCCGCGAGAGGGCCGCAGGAGCTGAGGAGGAGCTACGTATAGTCTCAAGAGATGACTGTCGTAGTAGAAGTTTACTAGGTGCAAACGTCCTGCAAGAGGGCCGTAGAAGTTGAGGCCGAACTACGTATAGTCTTGGGAGATGGCTATCGTGGCAAAGTCTTATAGGATGACTACTTACACGAAAGCAAAGTCATAGCTATAAACGTCTCGTAAAAGGGCTAGAGGAGCTGAAGTCGAGCTACGTATAGTCTCAAGAGATGGTTGTTGTAACAAAGACTTACTAGGTGACTACTTGCGCGAGAGTAGAGTCATAGTTGCAAACGTCCCACGACAGGGGCCGGAGGAGCTAAGGTCGAGCTATGTATAGCCATGGAAGATGGCAATCGTGGCAGAGGCTTACTAGGTGACTACTTATGTGAGAACAGAGTCATAGCTACAAACGATTTGCGAGAGGGTCGGAGGAGCTGGGCGCCTGAGGCTGGGTGTCTAGTTCAAGGTGCCTACGGCTAGATGCCCAGTGCTGGGCGCCTGGTGAGAGAGGCGAGACCCATCATTTAGGCGGCATCATGGGAGACTCTCATGGTAGAGAGAGTCATCTAGGCAGTATCCTGGGAGGCACCCAAGATGGAGAGGGTCGTCTAGGCGACATCATGGGAGACGCCCAAGTTGAAGAGGGTGAGATCTCTCGTCTAGGCAGCATCATGGGGGCGCCCAAGGTGGAGAAGGCGAGACCCCTTGTCTAGACACATCAAGGGAGGCGCCCAAGGGGGAAAAGGCGAGACCCCTTGTCTAAGCGGCATCAAGGGGACGCCCAAGGTGGAGAGGGCGAAACCCCTAGTTTGGGCGTCTACTTCTGGGCGCTTGGCAATAGACGCCTTTTGTCTACCTTGTTGTTAGGTCATGTTCTGAATTTTGTAAGCTATTTGTAAATTTTAGGAAAGCAAGATAAATCTGGACACAATAATCTTCACAGAATTTTATTTCATAAAATAATAAATAATAAATTAATTAAAAAAATAAAGGATAGATAAAATTTTCAGGTGTTCGGTATCCTATAGGTAGGCTAAGACTTTCCTGGTGGAGTTGGAGTTAGCCCTCAGGAGATTGTCTGGATTTCTCTAAGTGGTTGTTGGCATTCTCTGTCGTCATGGTCCCGGCCAAGTGGTGGGGCTTGTCCTCTGCCAGCAACGTACTGCCTCAACTGACCACACTGTATGAGCACCGCAATCTACCTTTTGAGATCAAAGTAGTCATCAGTGTCATGGTCGTGGTCACAGTGGAAACGACAGTACTTGTTCGAGCTCTTACAGTTCGAGGCAGTCTTCATCTTCTCTATTCAACGTACTGTAGGATCATCCTGTATTTGAAACAAGATATGCTCCACGAAAGCATTGAGTGGCGTTAAGGCTTGTCGCTCTCGCAGAGGTGGGGGACCAAGGCAGTCCTTGACAGAGATTCTCTATGTCCTACTCCTTTTGTTCTCTACCTCCCTCCTGTCTTCCCGGGTGTCCTTCCTTTTCTCGCCCCTATGGGAGGACTCACCTCTTCTGGCCTTGGTGACGTCCTCGGCGTTCATATATTTTTGTGCTTTAGACAACAGTTCGGGCATGCTGGAGGGCGACTTCTTGAGAATGAAGAATATGAAACTAGAGGAGCGAAGACCAGCGATAAAGGCGGTCAGGGCTACCTATCATCTGGCTCCTCAATCTGGAGAGCCTCCTCGTTGAAATGGGCAAGGTAGTCTCTAAGGCTTTCATCCCTTTCCTGCTTGACGGTGAGTAGGTGGGTTATAGGTTTCTGATGTCAACGTCCCCCCAATAAAGTGGGAGACGGATGATCTACTCATTTCCACGAAGAAGTGGATTGCGAACCATTGGCGTGTGGATCCCTTGAGGGTGATAAGGAAGACTTTACACATAATCTCCTCAAGCACATTGTGGAGTTGAATGAGAGATTTGTATGTGTCAAGATGGTCGAGGGGGTCTTTGGTACCATCGAAGATCTTAATGGTAGGCATCTTGAACTTCAAGGGTAAGGAATAATTGACTATATCAACAACGAAGGGTGTATCGGTGCATCTTACCAGGTAGTCCACTGTCTCGGACGCCTGTGTCTTGATGGCATTGAGGGCATTACCAAGTTGATTTTGTACCTCTTTGATCTTCTTGTTCCATTGGTTGGGGACATCCTCTGTTGGGTGGTTGTACTGGCTTCCATGATTGACATATTGGCTTTCTTCTTCGTCCTCCTGCGTTGGTACATGAGGAGAGTTAACACGTGAGCTTCTTATACGCTGAGGAGGGACTGCTGGGCGAAGGGCGACCGGGTGTGGCCCTGGGGCATTCTGGCAAGGAACTCCATGGTTGGGTGTTGTTTGGCGCCTTGATTGAATAGGTTATTACTCCCTTCTTGTTGGAGGGAGTGGGGCTCCTCCCACAAGGTGAGGAGTGATGCCACCTTGGGTGAGCATCAACTGAATGATCTGCTGATTTTAGTTTACCAATAGCTGCATGGTTTGTAAGAGCTGTTGCCTGACGATAGAGGTTGCTGTAACAAATGATTCTGAGGGTGCGAGGGGAAGCGGAGCCTCCTCCCGGTGACCCCGGTTGTTGACTCATTAATCTAGTCGTGATTGTCATAGATTGAAAGAGAGTAGGAAAACTAGTCGATTCCCACAGACGGTGCCAAACTGATGATGCACAAATTGGTATTGTGCAAGATCAACGGTCGAGTATATGTAAGAGTGTAATTATTGAGCAATAAATAAACAATCAATGACAAAATAATAAATAAGAGCAAACACGCAGATTTATAGTGGTTCGATCTGGGTGACCTACTCTACTCTCAGGAACGGCAGTGGTAGCCAGAGATTTTTATTGATGAATAAAATTCACCGAGAGAGTACACTCCGTGAGAATTACAATGTTTTGAGAGAGAGGAACTTGGTGTGTGTAGAGAGGTGTAGAGATGTGTGGATATCTCAAGGTGTAGAGGTCTTCAATGGTCATGAGATGTTAATATCATGCCCTCTATGTAGGGAGGGCTTCCATTATATAGGTATTGTGAGGCGGTGAGGTGAGGCAGTCACTACTTTTTGGTAAGTACAATTATGGTAGGATTAGATCTCCATGATGCGTATCCCGATATTCTTGTCACATGTTCCTATTCCTTTGGAAGGAGGATCCTAAGCTAGACTGGACTAGGTCGGAGTGGCAAAGTGAGGAAGATGAAGAGGAGACAGGAGAGGCCAGCTCTTGGGCGGCAATGCCAGGGGCTTGGGTGACCCTCCTTGGGCAGCGCCCCCTTGGGTGCTTCCTTCGGACGTTGGTTACTTGGACCTATTTCGGTGCATTGGGTCTTGGGCTCCTTTCTGGGTACTGATGATTTGGGCCCTTTTTGGTTTATTTTTATTAGGTTTGCCCAGTTAATTTTGGGCTCATCAATGTACATATTGCTCTTAGCGCCCACTGCTTCCTTAACAGGTCTCCGAATGGTAAAGCAAGTTTGCCCTGTGCAAGAAGTCCAGTGTGCACAAAATCCAATTAAGAGAGAGAGATCCCAAGTAATAATACACAAATAAAGTACCGTCTTCTACTAGGAACAGAAATGTAGAACTCTCCTTTGCCAATATACTTACATTCATGCCTAAAGGATTTCCAAAATTTAGATATAGGGAGGAAGACTCCATAGCCAATATACATTATTAATATAGAGAGAGAAAGAAAGAAAGAAAGAGAGAGATATATAAATGGTTGTAGCGGCTTTGGTGTCTCGATGCGTGGATTGCTTCTAGAAATTGGAACAAATTTGGGAAAGTTTTGTGGTTCTCATGTTCTGGCCACATACACAG